TTGGGTGTCCCTGAGAAGCTAAATTATTAAGAACAATTTTATTGTTATTTAAAATAGCGAATATGAAGACGGTTTTAGAGTTTGATTTTTCCAGAGTAATTTACCTTCACAGGGCGATCTCGAGAATTATTATAATACAAACTAAAAAACCTTGCTGACCATTGATTTTAAATATTTTGAACGCGAGTGCAGCGAGCACATTTAGGTGTTCAAGGTCGATTTGTCTTCATTTTTTTTTTAATATACATAGTATTCTTTGAACAACACGATACTCAAAAACATGTTTCTAATTTGTCGTAGAGAATCAAGGATTTTACAATTAAACTCCGCCCCTCGGCTTACGACGAATAAAAAAATCATCAGAATTGAGATAGGGCGGGTGGGTGGGGCTTACATTTTCCTTTTTGTTCATAATATACATAGCCATTTTTTCACAACAAGAAACTTAAAACATAATTAAAATGCAAAATCGGCATTTTCTTATACAAATTTTCCATTTTAAACATGTTTTAAGTTTCATGTTGTGAGAAAAAGTCTACACGTATTAAAACAAAAAGGCAAAACGTAAGCCCGCCCATCCACCCTGTCTCAATTGTGATGAATTTTTTTATTCGCCGTGAACCGAAGGGGCGGAGCTTAATTGCAAAATCCTTATTTCTCTACAAGATATAAAAACATGTTCTTGGGTATCGCATTGTTCAAAGAATACTGCATATATTAAGAAAAACAGGGGAAAATATAAACCCCGCCCACCCACCCCATCTCGATTGTGATGATTTTTTTTAATTCTTAGAAACTGAAAACACATTTAAAATAGTAAATTATTGTAGAGAAGTAATAAGGATTTTGCAATTAATTTTCGCTCCTTTGGCTCTTGACGATTACAAAAATCATCACACATGAGAAAGGGCGGGTGGGCGGGGCTTATATTTTGTTTTTTCTTAATATACGTAGTCGTTTTTTCAGAACAAGAAACTTAAAAACATGTGTAAATTCTTGTGGACAAATATGGATCTTGCAATTAAGCCCCGCCCCTCGATCTGACAACGAATGAAAAATTCATCACAATTGAGGATTGGGGTCGTCGAGAGTATGAGTGGGGCCTAATCTTTGGCTTTAGTATTATTTGAACACGATACTCAAAAACATACTTTTAATTTCTCGTAGAGAAATAAGGATTTTGCAGTTAAGCTCCGCCTTCCTGGCTTACGACGAATAAAAAAAATCATCACAATTGAGATAGGGTGGGTGGGCGGGGCTACATGTTGCTTTTTGTCTTTTAAATGTGTAGACCTATTTCGACAAGAAAAAACTTAAAACATGTCTAAAATGGTAAATGTTTGTAGTAATCAACTTAAATCCTCCACTTTTTTCAAAACGTCAACAGCAAATTTGTAAATCCCACTTCAAAATTATTCGTCAGTGTCCCTAAGAAGCCAAATTATTCAAAAGAGAATTTTTTATGTCCAGAAAAGGGGAATCTTATAAATGTTTGTGATTATCCGCTGAACTGGGGAGACTCGAGGAATCTAAACATGCTCGCTGCGCTCGCATTCTAAGGGTGTGTATTTTGGAGTTTAAAGATTTATTCTAACCAAAACAACTTCGTTGAGACTCTTTTCTGCACATTTGTATGACAATAAAGCTGAAAAAAGCAAGTTTAAAAAGCGAACGCAGCGAGCACGTTCAGGTGCAGTTTAAAAAATTACTTACTGGTGTCCCTGAGAAGCTAAATTATTAAGAACAACTTTATTGTTCACAGCAAGAAACTTAAAACATAATTAAAATGCAAAATCGGCATTTTCTTATACAAATTTTCCATTTTAAACATGTTTTAAGTTTCATGTTGTGAAAAAAAGTCTACACGTATTAAAACAAAAAGGCAAAATGTAAGCCCGCCCACCCACCTTGTCTCAATTGTGATGAATTTTTTTATTCGCCGTGAATCGAAGGGGCGGAGCTTAATTGCAAAATCCTTATTTCTCTACAAGAAATAAAAACATGCCCTTGGGTATCGCATTGTTCAAAGAATACTACATATATTAAGAAAAACAGGGGAAAATATAAACCCCGCCCACCCACCCCATCTCGATTGTGGTGATTTTTTTAATTTTTAGAAACTTAAAACATATTTAAAATGGTAAATTATTGTAGAGAAGTAATAAGGATTTTGCAATTAATTTTCGCTCCTTTGGCTCTTGACGATAAAAAAAAGTCATCACAATTCAGGAAGGGCGGGTGGGCGGGGCTTATGTTTTGCTTTTTTTCTTAATATACGTAGTCGTTTTTTCAGAACAAGAAACTTAAAAACAAGTGCAAAATGGTAAATTCTTGTAGACAAATATGGATCTTGGAATTAAGCCCCGCCCCTCGATCTGACAACGAATAAAAAATTTATCACAATTGAGGATTGGGATCGTGGCGGGTATGAGTGGGGCCTAATGTTTGAGTTTACTATTATTTGAAAAACACGATGCTGCAAAACGTGTTTTTAATTTTTCGTAGAGAAATGAGGATTTTGCAGTTAAGCTCCGCCTTCTTGGCTCACGACGAATAAAAAAAATCATCACAATTGAGACAGGGCGGGTGGGCGGGGCCACATATTGCTTTTTGTCTTTTAAATGTGTAGACCTATTTCGACAAGAAGAAAGCTAAAACATGTCTAAAATGGTAAATGTTTGTCGTAATCAACTTAAATCCTCCATTTTTCTCAAAACGTCAACAGCAAGTTTGTAAATCCCATTTTATTCAAATTTATTCGTCAGTGTCCCTAAGAATCCAAATTAGTCAAAAGAGAATTTTTTAATGTCTAAAAAAAGTGAATTTTAAAAATGTTTGTGAATATCCGCTAAACTGGGGAGCATCTGGCAACCTAGACGTGCTCGCTGCGCTCGTATTGTAAGGGTGTATATTCTGGAGTGTAGAGATTTATTTTGACCAAAACAACTTCGCTGAGACTTTTTCTGCACAATTGTATGACAATAAAGCTGAAAAAAACAAGTTCAAAAAGCGAGCGCAGCGAGCACGTTCAGGTGCAGTTTAAAAAATTACTTATTGGCGTCCCTGAGAAGCTAAATTATTAAGAACAATTTTGTTGTTACTTACAATTGTGAGTTTGAAGATGGTTTCAGAGTTTGATTTTTCCCTTCACAGGGCGATGTCGAGAATAATTATAATAAAAACTAAGAAACCTTGCTGACCATTGATTTGTAAACATTTTTATGACACTAATAAATCAGTAAAGAAAAAGAGCATTCAGAATGCGAGTGCAGCGAGCACATTTAGGTGTTATTAAAAATTATTCCTCGGTGTTCTTGGGAAGCTAAATTATTACATTAATGAGAGAATTTTTTAGTGTCTAGAAAAAATTAATCTTGGAAAGACCCCAGCAATCAACGTGCTCGCTGCGCTCGCTTTCTAATGTTTGGATTTTTTTGAAGTAATTAGTCTAGAGATTTATTAAAATACAACAAAACCTAGACAGTTTCCCTAAAATTCTTTCTTAGTTACTTCTATGATACTTCACGGGAAAATAAAGGAAAGTTTAAAATGCGAGCGCAGCGAGCACGTTTAGGTGCAATTAAAAAAAAATTTATGATTGTCCCTGAGAAGCTAAATTATTAAGAACAATGTTGTTGTTATTTAAAACTGTAAGCTTAAAGACTGTTATCACTAATGTTTATGGGACTGAAACATTCTGAAGTGCTCGCTACACTCGCATATTAGAGGTTAATTTTTTCAAAGTAATTTATTTACCTTCACAGGAAGATCTCGAGATTTATTGTAATAAAAACTATGTAGTCCTGCTGACCGATCATTCATAACTACTATGGATTCATTGGTTAACCACAATTATGGAATCATAATATTTTGCTTATTTTAGATAGGATGTAGAAATTTAAGGTGACGTCATCACATTGTTGGTGGGGACGATTAGACAAAGTTGGACGGAAATAGGAGACCTATGTCTCATACTCTAAATATTGTTATAATTAAGACATCAAAACTGTGTGATAAGATATCTGTATACGTGTAAACAGTTCAAGGATAGAAAAATTCTCACATACGCCACTGTCAGCTGTTTGATGTTAACACCTCAAAAGTCCTTAATTGTTTGTCTCTTAGTTACCTATTTTACAAACGTGATAATGTAATTATTTATGTCCACTTTACTAAGCACTGTGCAAACTTGAATAGCCTATTCTAATACAAGCTGATCGTAAAAGATCGTGCATTAAGTTGGCTTTGAAAATTTGCCGCATCGTTGTGATTGATGACCAATAGTAACGTCACATATGTCAAAATCTGATAATCTTAAAACATTGGTTAACAATTTAGTAACTTAATAACTCCGAAATCCTCACGTTGGCAATGATCAAATTTCACAATTACGTCATTACTGCCAACTTTATTGACAGTGATTGAATTTAGCCAAACAGAAAGGGATTTTGAAACTGACAGCTTCATGCTATTGTAAAAAAATGGAACTTTCACCTGTACTCGGTTTGATTTTTCGTTTCTACTCTTGTCCAATTTCGCGTCTGAACCAAGTCCTGTAACAAATTAAATTAAAGTTTGAGCTCGCCATAAATATTGTGTACTTACGAATCCAGAGAATGCTTTGTTTTACCTAAATATTGCAGATATGTAACGCTTGATGGCCTATCATGCATTTGAGACACAGGGACAATAAAGTTTACTGTTTTTAAGTACCTTTTATCAATTATTGCATAAATATTTCTTGTACATTTGTAGATAATATTACATATCCTGTATTAGGAGCGCATTAGCAAATTTAATATCACAAATTTATATTTTTATCTACAATTTCTACTGTGACAATCATATAATTAGCGTCATACATAATAAATTTAAAAGAAATGAATGTAAATATGTGTAACTGTTATGTGTACAATAAATAACAGCAATAAATGTTTTTGTGTCGACATTTAAACCCTCTCTGTGTCCAGTCCAAAGGCGCCAAGTAAGTAACGAAAGTCTCAATGTACAACATTTTATTACAATTGAATTACAGTTCTAAAGAAAATTGAAACAATAAAAAAGATGAGAACTTCTGTAGAGTGTAAACGTATGTGGTAACAATGTGGTAATTAACTAATGTCTGTTGAAGTCTGCAACTCATAGATGATCTATAAAAATACAATTGACACTAATTACAAATGAAACCCTTATGTATAGATATAAAACTATAAAACAAACTCATATAAAAATCTTTTACAAAACATACTTAGGAAAAGAAGTAATATCCCGAAAATATATTTCTTTTTACAGTCACGCGAATCTCGGACTTGAAGTACATGTAAAATGCATATCAAATGTATTTTTTTTTGTAAAATGAAATATACTATGTGCAAGACAGTAATTTCCTGTAGATATACGGATGGTAAATGTCCGCGTACATTTGGCAACTGCAGAAAAAATCAACTAGGAACATGTGAAGTTCAATAAATTACTACTATAGTCGACAACAAAAGAGTAAGGCACCGTACCTCTACAGAAAACTAAAGTGTGTCTTAGAGCTATCTTATTCACGTTTAATTGCTTGGGGGGCCTCGGCCAGTCCTTTCACTTTGAGTCTATCCGCCGTTTTCAAGAAGGCGGGCAGTTGTTCTTGGCTCACGTTCACCTCCCCCGCGTACATAAACTCTAAAATCGCCTGCAGGTGGCTGTAGGCCACGTCTTTGAGAATGATGATGGGGTGCTTCGACGGGTTCTCCTGCAACTCTAAATTGAGACACGTCGCGCTAACCGCGCCCCCCTTACCTCCAACAGACTCTTGAAGTACGGGCTACACGCCGACAGCACCATCTTGTGCGCTTTGCAGGTCTGGCCCTCGCAGGCTAAGGTGACATCGGTGAAGCTCTTCTCGTCCCGCAAGTGCCGAAACGACGACACCATGTTGCTCTGAAAGTCGTTCCATTTCAAGAAGAACTGTTGCTGATCTGCCATTGTTGACCCGTTTCGAACTACAACAAACAAACTGTTTACAAATTTTCACATAACCTAATTCTCGGCTCGTTGTGACAGCGCGGCGGGATCGCGGGCGGCCGGGCCGAGCGACGACAGCCAGGGAGGTCAACTTACCCACCTTTGAATCCAGACGAAATTTAAGATTAAACGCTAAAAAAAATTGGGAAAAGTTAAACAGTCATTAACATTCTGCTCTGCTAAACAATGCTATTACGCAAGCGCCAATCCGCCGATTCATACATGTGTTGACAACCTAAATAATTACGTCACGGTTTGACGTGGTCGTGCATCGATTGCGTAATGTTGGCACAAATGGCGACACCGGCGGGACGTTTGAATTGCGTTTGGAACAACACACGAAATAATCGAAATAATATGAACGCACGATTATAATTATCAGCCGTAAATTAACAAGGAATTGTAAATTAAATTAATAAGGAATAGTTTGGAATTTCCGGATAGGGACTTTGACGTCTGCACGACCTGACCCGATCAATACGTCGGTTCTTCCCCGCCCGGACGTTGTTTTCAGTGTCGGGTAATTTATCACGAATGAAAAATTCAGGTTTGTCCATTGGAAAGCCACTTTTGTGATTTATTATCAAACATTACTTTGCATGGTTATGAATGTCGCCATCCATCTTGCTTCGGTCTGATTGTGTAAGTGCTACTTTATCGATTGTTTTTCTGGTGGGAAAAGTTTCGGGATAATTGAATGGCAGAGGCGACGTTCCCGCTAATGATTTATTTCTGGTTGTGATGTTAATTTGATGTAGGTATCGGCAAAAGTAATTCGTTATTCGTTCTGTGATGGTTATATTTTACGGCGGATTTATGTGTGGAGTGGTATAAGTATAATTTCAACAATAAATTCCCCGTCTGATTATTTTGATAAACGATTATTTCTTTAAATTTTGCGCTGTTGCGGCTGCATGTGTTGCAATTTATTTCAGTTATTTTGTTACAGTTTATTTTATAGCGAACCAATAAAACCAGACAGAAAATTAGACGGAAACGGGGACCTATTTTTTCGTTGTCTAGGGGTCATGAAATGTCGACAAAACACAGAGTAAGTAGTCGGACGCTACAAAAAATAACTAGAAAATTGACAAAATAAGTAAGTAACCTTAAACATAATAAGAGTACATCATCTTTGATTTGCATTTAGAGATATTTTACATTAATCTAATTCGAATACACCAATGGTAAGACAAAATTAAGCAAAACTGAAGATAATAACACTCATTAACAGAATTAAGTTCCATGTTTAATGTGAGATCACCAGCCAACATAAGTTTACTTCAGGGAATAGCATCAGGAAAATCGTTAGTAAAGAGCAAAAACGACAAGGGTCTTAAGTTCGATCCCTGTGAGACCCCAAAATGTGCAGTAAATGCTTCAGAGCTAGTCAAAATAAGTCTACACACAAATTAAAAAAAAAGGCAAAAATTAGCCCCGCCCACCCACCCTAGCTCAATTGTGATGATTTTTCTTATTCATCGTGAGTCAAGAAGGCGGAACTTAACTGCAAAATACTTATTTCTCTACGAGAAATTAAAAACATGTTTTTTAGTATCATGTTGTTCAAAGAATACTGTATATAATATATGTATGTCAAGAAAAACATAAAGCCGAAGATTAGGCTCCACCTATACCCGCCCCGATCTCAATTCTCAATTGTGATGAATTTTGTATTCGTTATCAGGTCGAGGGGCGGGGCTTAATTGCAAGATTGATATTTGTTTGCAAGAATTTACCATTTTAAACATGTTTTCAGTTTCTTGTTCTGGAAAGACGACTACGTATGTCACGACAAAAGGTAAAATATAAGCCCCGCCCACCCACCCTATCTCAATTGTGATGATTTTTTTTAATCGTCGAGATCCAAAGAACCGGAAATTAATTGCAAAATCCTTATTATTTCTCTACAAGAAACTAGGAAAAAATTAAGCCCCACCACTGCCCTGATCTAAGTATAGTAATGAAGTTTTCATTCGTTGGCAGATCTAGAGGCGGAGCCTAATTGGAAAATTCATATTTTCTTACAAAAACTCACCATTTTAAACGGGGTTTATATTTTGCCTTTTTTTCTTAATACACATAGTATTCTGTAAACATCATACTCAAAAATATGTTTTTAATTTCTTGTAAAGAAATCAGTATTTTGCAGTTAAGCTCCGCCCCCTTGATTCACGATGAATAAAAAAAATCATCACAATAGAGATTGGGTGGGTGGGCGGGCTTAAATTTTGTCATTTTATTTTAATATCTGTAGACTTCTTTTCACAACATGAAACTTAAAACATGTTTAAAATGTCAAATTTGAATAAGGAAATATCGATTAGGCTCCGCCCCATAATTGCAAAATCCATATTTCCTTCCAAAAATGTACCTTTTTAACCATGTTTTAAGTTTATTGTTCTGAAAAAGCCATGTATATTAAGAAAAAAAGGCAAAATATAAGTCTTCTGTCGAAAGAAGTCTACATATTTAAAAGCAAAAAAAGTAAGATATATCCCCGCCCACCCACCCTATCTCAATCCTGATGAATTTTTTTATTTGTCGTAAGCCGAGGGGCGGAGCTTAATTGTAAAATCCTTATTTTTCTACGAGATATTACCATGTGAAATTTGTTCTTAAGTAATCGTGTTATACAAAGAAAACCAAAATAGAAGCCCCACCCAACCATCGCAATTCTGATGATTTTCTTTATTCGTCGTAAGATCTTTTCATTTTCTTTGAGTCTCTTTCAGTTTATCTCAGATTCTCTCAAATTTTCTTAGATTCTTAATGACTCTATAGTAGATTCTCTCAGATTCTTTCATATTCTTAAAGACTCTGTTGTAGACTCTCTCAGAATCTTTCAAATTCTCTCAGTTTCTGTTAGATTCTATGATATTCTTTCAGATTTTCATAGTTTTTCTTAGATTATCTTAAGTTCCCTCTGATTCTTTCAGATTCTTATTAGATTATTATTATTCTTAAATACTCTATTGTAGATTCTCTCAGATTCTCCCAGAATCTTTCAGATTTTTATAGTTTTCTTAGATTATCTTAAGTTACCTCTATTCTTTCAGATTCTTATTAGACTATTATTATTATTCTCTCAGATTCTCTCAAAATATTTCAAATTCTCGCAGATTTTCTCAGATTCTTTCATATTCTTAAAGACTCTATTGTAGATTCTCTCAGATTCTCTCAGAATCTTTCAGATTCTCTCAGTTTTTGTTAGATTCTATCAGATACTTTCAGATTTTCATAGTTTTTCTTAGATTATCTTAAGTTCCCTCTGATTCTTTCAGATTCTTATTAGATTATTATTATTCTCTCAGATTCTCACAAAATATTTCAGAATCTCGCAGATTTACTCAGATTCTTTCATATTGTTAATGACTCTATTGTAGATTCTCTCAGATTCTCTCAGAATCTTTCAGATTCTCTCAGTTTCTATTAGATTCTATCAGATTGTTTTAGATTTTCATAGTTTTTCTTAGATTATCTTAAGTTCCCTCTGATTCTTTCAGATTATTATTAGATTATTATTATTCTCTCAGATTCTCACAAAATATTTCAGAATCTCGCAGATTTACTCAGATTCTTTCATATTGTTAATGACTCTATTGTAGATTCTCTCAGATTCTTTCAGATTTTCATAGTTTTTCTTAGATTATCTTAAGTTCCCTCTGATTCTTTCAGATTCTTATTAGATTATTATTATTCTTTCAGATTCTCCCAGAATCTTTCAGATTCTTTCAGTTTCTGTTAGATTCTATCAGATTCTTTCAGATTTTCATAGTTTTGCTTAGATTATCTTAAGTTCCCTCTGATTCTTTCAGATTCTTATTAGACTATTATTATTCTCTCAGATTCTCACAAAATATTTCTATTTCTGATTCTCGCAGATTTGCGCAGATTCTTTCAGTTTCTGTTAGATTCCACCAGATTCTTTCAGATTTTCATAGTTTTTCTTAGATTATCTTAAGTTCCCTCTAATTCTTTAGATTCTTATTAGATTATTATTATTCTTTCAGATTCTCATAAAATATTTCAGAACCTCGCAGATTTACTCAGATTCTTTCATATTCTTAATGACTCTATTGTAGATTCTCTTAGATTCTCCCAGGATCTTTCAGATTCTTTCAGTTTCTGTTGGATTCCATCAGATTCTTTCAGATTTTCATAGTTTTTCTTAGATTATCATAAGTTCCCTCTGATTCTTTCAGATTCTTATTAGGCTATTATTATTCTCTCAGATTCTCACAAAATATTTCTATTTCTGATTCTCGCAGATTTACTCAGATTTTTTTATTCTTAATGACTCTATTGTAGATTCTCTCAGAATTTTCCAGATTCTTTCAGTTTCTGTTAGATTCCACCAGATTCTTTCAGATTTTCATAGTTTTTCTTAGATTATCTTAAGTTCCCTCTGATTCTTTCAGATTCTTATTAGACTATTATTATTCTCTCAGATTCTCACAAGATATTTCTATTTCTGATTCTCGCAGATTTACTCAGATTCTTTTATTCTTAATGACTCTATTGTAGATTCTCTCAGAATCTCCCAGATTCTTTCAGTTTCTGTCAGATTCCACCAGATTCTTTCAGATTTTCATAGTTTTTCTTAGATTATTATCTTAAGTTCCCTCTAATTCTTTCAGATTCTTATTAGACTATTATTATTCTCTCAGATTCTCTCAAAATATTTCAGATTCTCGCAGATTTTCTCAGATTCTTTCACATTCTTACAGACTCTATTGTAGATTCTCTCAGATTCTCTTAGTTTATGTTAGCTTCTATCAAAGTATCTCAAATTCTCTCAGTATCTCTTAGATTCTCTCAGATTCCCCCAGATTCTCATAGGTTTTTTTAGATTCTTTCACATTCTCCCCAACCCTCTCTATCTCAATTGTCACGATGTTTTTTTATTCGATATGAGCCAAGAAGGCGGAGCTTAACTGCAAAATTATTTCTCTGCGAGAAATTAAAAACGTGTTTTTGAGTGTAGTGTTAATCAAAGAATACTATGTATATTAAAAAAAATTAAAGCCAAAGATTAAGCTCCACCGATACCTACCCTGATATAAATAGTAATGAAGTTTTCATTCGTTGACAGACCTAGGGGCGGAGCCTAATGTATAAGGAAATATCGATTTGGCAAATAAGCTCCGCCCCATAATTGCAAAATCCATAGTTCCTTGCAAAAGTGTACCATTTTAACCATGTTTTAACTTTA